ATTAATAGATTTCCACATGACCAGAGAAAACAGTAAATTCCAAGGAAAAAACTGACACTGAAATTGGAAGTATCCCAGGATGCCAAAACTAAATATATATATATATATATATATATATATATATATATATATATATATATATCCACAATCACTGCTGTTCCAAAAATCTTTATTCTTCCAACCTTTCTTGGGTATCTCCTTCCACTTTTTAAAAAAATATATATATTTTTAATTGATTTCAGAGAAGAAAGGCGAGAGATAGATAGATATATCAATGATGAGAGAGAATCACTGATAGCTGCCCTCTGCACGACCCCCACTGGAGGGGGGGATCAAGCCCGCAACCCGGGCATGTGTCCTTGTCCGGAATTGACCCTGGAACCTCTCAGTCTGCAGGCCGACGCTCCATCCACTAAGTCAAACCAGTGAGGGCTTCTTCCACTTCGTAATAGGATTCTGACCCTCATCAAGATGAGGGTTCCTCTTGTCAAAGCACTGATGTCACTGAAGTGTGTGAGAGAATGAAGCCGTGAGCTCATGACATTTTCACATTTTCATCATCCTCATAGTTAATCCTGTGTTGATCTCCTGACTCTGGCGAGTACCTTGAAGATGCAGGGTGTCACAGATTTCCTCTGGAGCATCGGAGTACTGCTCCTTAAGTTCACGCATGGCAGAGCTGCTCAATGCTTGCCTCTTGGCTCATTCTAGACGCTTCTCCCATTCAGTCTCTGTTTCATCATAATGTACTGGAACCAAGTGGATGCAACATATTACTTAACTGCTCTGTTTGTAGATTTCTTCCCTGAAGCCCCAAGACTGTCCTTCCTCCGTTTCATCTTCCTCATCCTCAGAGCTCAACTTGCTCATCATATTGCTGGGATGAGGTTTAAAACGAGTGGGTCATTCTCACTAAGGCTGCCTGTCACTATAGTCATGAGCCATTTGTCAATTTAATACTTCAGTTTTTGGTCCAAGGGACAAAGTTTTTCTAAAACCGTGCAAATCTCCGCCAGTTTCAAAACTGCAGCATGTCCCTGAAGCTCTGAGGTTTTGTCCAGAATGAGTTGACTCATCCACAATGTATTATACAAGAGTACCAACTGGCCTTTCACCTCCAAGAGGCTGAGACCCTCTCTGTAGGATAGGTCCTCGCGTGAACTTTTTTTGGTCAGTTCTTGAACTTGTGCAGTTACAGCCATTACCTGCTCCTCGAGACTTTTCAAAAGTGCCCCCCGCTCTCGGCAGGTCTGACTCTAGCACCTTTGTAGGCACCAGCGTCACCATTGTCTCAAACTTGTATTGAAGATGTATTTTTTCTTTTCTCCTGACAGACTATAGTTTTTTTCCCAAGGCACATACCTAAGACAGATATAGAAAAAAAACACGTTCTGCCGAAACCGGTTTGGCTCAGTGGATAGAGCGTCGGCCTGCGGACTGAAGGGTCCCAGGTTCGATTCCGGTCAAGGGCATGTACCTAGGTTGCGGGCACATACCCAGTGGAGGGTGTGCAGGAGGCAGCTGATCGATGACTCTCTCTCATCGATGTTTCTAACTCTCTATCTCTCTCCCTTCCTCTCTGTATGAAATCAATAAAATATATTTAAAAAGAAAAAAACACGTGCTGATTCTTGCTCTGATCAATGTTCCTCTTAAACCTGGTGATTGTCTTATTCTTTCTGTGACATGATTTACACAACTGGGAAACAGGAAAAGGTTAACCAAGCTAGAGTAGGAATAGATTTATCTTCCTTTTAATCTTGAGGTAGTTTTAAGATAACACCATGAGTTTCCTGTTTCATCTCTGCCTTACTAGAACACGGGTCTCCACAATCTTTATTGCATCAGAAAACAAACAATTTTCAGATAACTTGAGAGCTGTAAATTGCTTGAATAAGCCTACGGAAATAAGCAGACACTGCAGTCCGCATTGCCAATTTCTTAGGGAATGGAGGGCAAATCCAGTGGGGAGAGGGTATGTGGCTCAAAGACTGTCACTTTGTATTGGGGAAAGAGGAAAAGAAACTGTCCTCCAAGGATAATTCCAGTGCTATGGAAAACAGGGCCTGAGAATCTTAAGTGGTTACTAAAACTATATGCTGACCACGCAGACGCAGACTGAATAAAGAATATTTGCTAATATGTTTACTATAGATTCAGCTATAATGAAAAAATGCAAACTTGCATTTTTATTTTATTTTTATTTATTGTCAACATGCAGTGTTTAAACACTTGAAATATACAAGTACTATTGTGTGGATGTCAGCCAACATTTTTGGCTTTCAAAAATTCTCAGATTTGCAAAAGCTGGGAACTACTGGTGAAGACCTCACTCTTGGGAGTTACGTTTGGTGTGAGAAGAAAGATTGAGGCTAGAGGTTACCGGGTTACTAAGAGGGCCAAGAACAAGGGTCAGAAAACCCAAAAGCCAAAATACAAATTTAGCCCAAATTTAGATTCTTTTCCTTCGTTTCATTTCAGGCATGCTAGGACAAGCAGCACACCACACCCTCTCAGCTGTCCTATCATTAAGCAGAAGGCAGGAATTTAGAAACTCACAATTTTGCAAAGGGTCATAAGCTCGCTGAGTTGAGATCAAATTTTTAAAAATAATTTGAGTTAAGCATCCATTCTGTCTGAAATATGAATTTGGGTATCTTCATAGTCTTAATAACACTATGAAAATTCTATAGGCTGAACTTCTTTGTACATGTTGAGAGGAAAAATCTTCCTTATTTCAACTTGCAAAAGACCTATCAATATTTTATTTTAGATTGTCACCCTAATACTTATTTCTGTAAGTATCTAACTGAAAAATCACCACTTACAATTCTTTTAAGCCACCACTGCTCTATAAAGACTCTCCTCATCTGATTTTACTATAGCAACAAAACACAGAACAAGAATATTTTATCTTTACAACCAGGGGCAAAGGACCTCTGGCTCCTGTTGACAACAGAGAGTTTGAAAGTAGCCGTGATTGGGCTGGGCAGGGGCATTAAATATCGATACCACCGGGATTGTTATTCATTAACCTGCTACTAAACTAAATATTTGTTGCTGAAGACACTGACTGCTCATGATTATTTCTAAGCTAAGTAGACTCCAAAAGAATGCTAACGACCCCTCAGAGGCAGGGCTTTCAGCATTGAAAGTTAGCATCTTTCAATGAAGTTTTAGTTCAAACTTTTCCAGGAAAAGAACAAAAAAACAAAAACAAAGAAAAAAAACCTTTCCTTTAAATAGTGTCTTTATAAAGAACCCACTAGCACCAAAAGGCAGAAAGCATGACCTTTTTTTTTTTTTTTTTTTTTTTTTCATTTTTAACTATCAGTAGCTTTTAAACTATCAATAACTTTAATTCTCCAGGACTCACTCTCTCTTTCTCTCTCTCTCTCTCTCTCTCTCTTTCTTTTTAAAGGAAAATGTTAAATAATGTTTCAGTACACTTCCCCATTTGGGGTCAAAATGAGCTCTTTGTCATGAAGAAAAATCTTGCAGCACAGTGGCTGTGGAAGATGAGTTTCTTAAAGTCAGATTCTAGCCCTTCAGTTTCCACAAGCCATCATCAGCAAATCCTAATCCAATCATCTCTTTCCAAAGAGCTTCATGCTTCATCTGTAATGACTGACTTTGAAATTAAATTGTTTTAAATTCTTTTCTTTTGGTCTCTGCCAGAATACTGACAATAGGGAAGCAAAGGCTTTACATGGGACTTAGCTTTCTTCATTTTTTAAAAAAAATATATTTTTTACTGATTTCTTAGAGAGGAAGGTAGAGGGATAAAGAGTTAGAAACATCAATGAGAGAGAGTCATCAATCAGCTGCTTCTTGCATCACCCCTACTGGGGATGTGCCTGCAACCCGGGACCTTTCAGTCCGTAGGCAGACGCTCTATCCACTGAGCCAAACCGGTCTCGGCCATTTTTAACTTAGGAATAAAAAGTAGATCAGGATACCTGGATTCAAAAGAAAGAAATTTATGCATTTATCATTTCTCTTTTATTATGATTATTATCATCTAACACCATTATTTCTTCCACATCTATTAACTGGCATTCTATAATAGTCTCTCCAGGTGCAATATCAAGACCCCAGAAGCATAACTTGTGACCTCGAACCTTTTAAAAATCGCATTCACAGTTTATTTTCCTAAGGAGACGGCTTCAACTGCACCCCTTCCAGTCCCCAGATTCCCAACTGAACCCGGGCAGCCCTTTTAAAGGGCGTGTACAGTTCCCAGAGGGGTAGAGGTGAGGGCTCAGGCGGCTGGCAGCCCTAAACTCCCGATCCACCCTAACTCCCCGCACCAAGGAGAGCAAATCTGCACGTCAAGAGACCACAGAGGGCCGCTGGGGAGGTGACCTCGGGTTCCAGGCACCGTCTGCACCCCCGCCTGCCCGAGGGACGCCCCACGGCATCAGCCACGCTCGAGGCCGGACTCTGGCCCTCCCGCCCACGTAGCCTGGCCACTGGCCGTCCAGCCGCCCAGACACCCATCGGCGGCGCCGCGCAAGCCGCCATCTCCAAACCGGACACCAGAGCGGGGTCCCAAAGCGGCCGGGGCGGAGGAGGGGGCGGGCCCTCAGGCCGCACCTCCTCGCTTTTCCCCGCCTTCTTTGTTTCCTCCGGAGATCCTATTGGCTGCTTGCGGCGAGCCGCGGCCTGCGGTGAGAAGCGGTTGGACGACGTCGCTGCCGCTCGGCCAGGGGCCCGCTCGCCATTGGCCAAGGCGCCGCCGGGTTTGAATCGCGGTGGGAGGCTCAGCCCCAGTGCCACGTTGGGCCCGGCCGCGGCCGGACGGGCTGGGTCGGGGCTGCGGCTGGCGCGCTCGCGCCGGGGCGGCCGTTGGGGTCGTTGGGCGACGCGAGGCGAACCGGCGGCCGTGCGTCCCGCCCGGGGCGGCTCTGGCTGAGGGCGGAGGGGCCGGCGGAGCGCCCGGGGCAGCGGCTGAGGCGGGACGGCGGCCAGGGCCGCTGCCCCCGGAGGAGCCGGCAGAGATGCTGGCGGGAAACCTGGTGGAAGGGTTCGACATGAAGGAGGACGAGCCGTGGTACGACCCGCAGGACCTCCAGCAAGGTGAGCGGGAGGCGGAGGCCCGGGCCGCGGGGCTTCTAAAAAGTAGCTTCTGCTGGCGGCGCTGGGGCGCCCACCGGACGGGGGACCGGCCGCACCTGCCCGCCCTGCGGAGCCTGCGCGGGCCTCGGCCGCCCTGCGCCGCCCGGTCGCCCTCCGGGCCTGGCCCCGCGGGGCAGCGCGCCCTGACCGGACCTGTGCTCGGCGGCCCCGCACAGGAACTGGGAGGGAGCCTTTTGCGTTCACCCCATTTTCCAGGTGAGGACCGCGAGGGCGCGGCGGCCAGGGGTCCGGAACACGCCCCCCCCCCCCCCCCCCCCCGGGCCGCGGCGCTGTCCGCTCGGCCCCGCCGCCCAGCCTCCGGGCGCGGCGCTGGGCTGGGGGGGGGGGGGGGGGATGCGGGGCCTCGTTCACCCGGTGCCCAAAGGGCGAAGGCGTTGCTGCCTCTGCCTCTTCCTTCGCCCTGAACTCCGGCTTGTTGGTTAAGAACAGGTTTGCCTTGGATTTGGAGAAGGCCCCCTCTTTTGCATGTTAATAGCAGGCACTTGCGATAGGAGAACCTTTTTGTGTGCCAGGCACTGACTGGCCCTTCACACAGATGTCACTTAATCCCAACTGTGGAGGTAGAAGATGTTGTTATTGGGGAGCAAACTTGCCTAACCTCTATTCGGAATAATCCTCGGGATTTTTTTTTTTTTCTTTCAGGCATCTTCCTTTTCTGCAATTCCGTGTAAATGCAACTTGTTTAGCTTTAACTTGCACTGAAATTTAGCATTTCATTTAGTGAATATTACATGACCATGATGCTTGTTCATGTTAACCATTGAATTGGGGGGAGGGTAGAATGACTCACACTTAGAAAAGGAAAATAAAACAAGCACCTTTTGGGGGAAGGTGATTTCTTAAGTCAGTGTGCTGTGGACAGTCACTGAAATCAAAGTAGTTTACCATTATGCTTGTTCACATAGTAGAAGCTATTTGACTGACGGCTGCAGTGCAGTATTTACCATCATAATCTTTATGGCCACAAGATAAACGTGTCTTACATTTTAACAAACCTGTTTTCAGAATTCCCCATAAGGATTGATGGCCTAGTTTGATACTTTCTCTAGGATTAATGTGACAACCAACGTGCAATTGCAAGATTTCCTTCTAAAAAACTACGCAGTTTGTATAATCAAAGCTAAATATTTTTCTTCCCTGCATTTAAGAAGCATAGGTCTGTACAGGCTGGGGACCTGCTTCTTAACCTCTGATCCGAAAGAAGTCATCAGATGTTAAACTAATGAACCCAGAGAACACAGGTCTGAACCCCTTCACGCCAGTTTGCATTTGGAATTTGTCCCGTGCTTCTCCAAGGACTTTTACATCCATTATCATAGTGAACTTTGACAAACCCTGTATGTCATACCAAGTGTGTGGTGTAGGAATGGATGTGAAATTTCAACAATCATACCTTGTGAATATGGCCTGTAAAAGAATGAAGGCTGCAGGCACAGCAGATCTGTCCTGTTAAACATATTGATAAGTTCATGTAGTGGGATTTTATCAAGGGCAGACATCTATTCATTTGCTAACATCCTCACTGTTGGCAGACCTTATTTTATCGCACTTCACTTTATTGCATTAAAATGGTTTTGCTTTTTTTATTTTTTTAATCCTCACCGAGGAGTGAGGATATTTTTCCCATTGATTTTTAGAGAGAGTGGAGGGGAAGAGAGACAGACATATAGATTGGTTGCCTCCCAAACATGCCCTATCGGGGTTAGAGATTGAACCTGCCGAGGCACATGCCCTTGACTAAGAATTGAACCTGTGACCCTTTGGTCAGAGGGCTGAGCTGTCACCATTGAGCAAACCAGTCAGGGTGGTGGTGTATGTTTTACAATGGAAGGCAAGACCCTCCACCAGCAGAAAGATTATGAATCACTTGACTGTGATACTTGCTTCAATACAGTGGTCTAGAATCAAACCCACATTATCTTTAAGGTCTGCCTGTATTAACTTGATTGAGTGAGCCTTGTTGGGAGAGAGCTACTAAAATAACTTAAGATCCTGTTCTTAAAGTCAGAACTACATACTTTTTCCCCTTGAGCAATAGATTAAATAGACTGAATTTTTGTATCAGTTTGCTGGGGCATTTTTTAAATTAAAATTGCGGGGGGGAAATCTAACTTTGAAAGGCCCTGGTCTACTGTTCATACCTTTATAGAAACATGTAAAGCTGTGCGAGGCAAAAGGAGAAAAGCCTTTGCTTTTACAAAACCCTTTGATGAAGAGATTGCCTTTGTCAGAGGGCTGAGTTGGCACAGGAAGAATACTGACAATGATCTCTGCGCGTCTGATCCTTTCTGGGACAGCAGGAGCCTTCTATTTGAAACGTGCCCCTGAGAGCAAGGTGGAAAGACTTCAGAGACTGGCTTTTCCTTCAGACCAGCTGCTGTTATAATTGTTGTTTGGTGAGCTGTGTAGGCTTAGAATAAAGATTCAGGTTTCTATTGCACGGATCAGCAAATGAAATCTTAGTTTTAAGGAATCCTAAGACTTCTACTTTTTTTCAAGATGGGTACATTTTCCTGGTGTGTAATTTGCTGAATCACTGTGTGGGGGGCCATTAAAACTGACATCACCGTTTTTCTTGATGTTTTTATTCAAATTTTTTGCTTCCAATTATAGTAACATTGGCAACAGGAGGTACACAGAAGCATCACCAAATGATGCATTTGACTTTGTAATAGGAAAAGCTTTCAGCCTTAATAATATTGGATTACTGCTGAAGACCACTGCTAATACATTATCCTTATATGATTTTGAAAATGAGGAAAATAAGAAAGATATAAAAGCAGTGGAATTTAAAGGTTTCTGATTTCTGGAAGAAAGATACTTTTAAAAATACACTCTGGCTGCTAGAGCTAATTTTTTTCTGCCTAAGTCATATAGGGCTGAGTGGAGTATCTGTTTAAAGCTAAGAGTGTAAATGGATTATTGAAATGATTACTGCTTGCAAAGGCTAATTAGTGAAAGCATATTAAACACGAAAGTGTTGCTAGGTTGTAATTCTCAAGCCTGCAGTAAATCTGTGGTATTTTTAGTGCTGCTGAGGCCAGTTCAGGATTTAGAAAAGAAAACCGCCTAATGAAAATCCTTATTGGAAAGTAGATGAGCAGATGCATACAGGCTTCAAACTTTTCTTTTATTCCTTAATTAAAAACAATAGTAAAGAACATTGAATACTCTCCCATTTGCACCACTAATTATTTAAAAAACCTACTTGGGCTTACTGCCAGCTTTTGATTCCTTTTGGAAGCCATATGCTAGATGATAGGAAATGAAGGGTTTTTTTTTAAAGACCAAAAGAAGACCCTTGTCCTTAAACTAATAGATGAAGTAATATCCTCTTTGCAGTGTCACTTCACAGGCCCTTTCTTGTAGTTGATACTTGTCTTGCCAAGATTCTATCCTAAACAGCCTGTGAAATTTGTAGGAGACTGAGTCTTGAAGTTACTGAGTCCGGTTGGGCTTTGTTTAACTGGAAATAAGGGTGGGATAGGACAAGTTCTTTTCTGGTTACTGTTGACTGGAAGAGTGCTTTGCTTGGCATCCCTTTCTGCAGCACAGGAGGAGAGCTGCTCCTGGCTGTGTATTAAGAGCTTAGGTGGTTTCGTAATGGGATGGAAGTAGGTGACCGTGGTCTAAAGTTAGTCTTGATTCAGATTTTGATTGCCAGTTTAGAGTATCTTTGATGAGTCTCTGGTCCTTCCCAGTAAGGAATCATTCACCACTATAAAGTCTGCCAGGTGAGACTCAGTCTTCAATATAGTGTGGAGACTTCTATGTGGCACTGCATACACATTGCATACCCTATGGGTACACAATAATTATTTCTGGAACATCTTTAGCTTTGCATCATTTCCATTTTCACTTAGTGAAAACAATATATTAGCTTGCCTGAGGTTATACGTACTTTCTTTGATTGAGCAGGTAATAGAAGCTAGGTAGCTCAACTCTAGTTTCTCATTGCCATTTGTGAAAAGCTTAAGTACCTGACTAGGAAAGTTTGCTCTCTCTATCTTTAAGAAGTGTGTGGTCACACTGTCAATCATCTGAAAACTGTGTAGATATGGATAATGAAGTGGAGAATGGTGATGAGAGAGTTAGAATCTGGTGATAGAAGTGTTTGTTTTGTTTGTGACTCCTGTAGATTTGACCAGGTCCGTTAGTATCTTTGTGCTTAAAGTTGTCTCATCTGAAAAACTGGCCTAAATACCTTGAAAAGATACAAAGATGTATCTTACATGATTTGAGCTTTTCATAAAGGTTCTATGTCTTGTGAATACAAGATGTTATTTCATAGAGTTGTTATCTGAAGTACTTAGTATATTAAGCACTGTTAATACTTAAATCATGAGAGAATTTAACACCTGTCTACCAACAGTACACTAATTTATTTTAAATGTAAAATGTTTACTGTGAGCTGGAGTGGTGAAAGGTCGATTTTGCTGCTTTATTTCCCAATGTGAGAAAATCACCCAAGCAGACCACTAGTTCTGCACTAGAATGAACAGTACCAGGTTACAAAATGTAGTGCTTGTTTTGTTACCACTTATTCTAGGTTGAGTTTTAATTTTGGTGGTCATGAATAGACGTAAACCTTATTTGTCAACCTCTACAAATTAAGTTTTAAAATCATGTAGTACAGGTCCCTGTTTTTGTAACAAATACCTTTTCATAATAGATATATTCGTGACATTAGCTAAGAATACTTAGAATAGAAGTCAAGCTTTACCATGGCCCATAAAATCTTGTATAATGCGATCCCTGCCTAGTTCTCCAACTTCATCTCCTACCACTCTCCCTCATGCTTCTTTCACACTGGCATTTTATCGAGGACATGCCACATTCTCTTGTGTTGCAATTCTTATTGGTGAGGTCCTCATCCTTCAAGCTTGAGCTAAAACGTGTCTCAAGGTGACTTTCCTTGTGATCTTCCCTTCTAAAGTAGATCCTTTGTTATCACCAAATTCATTTTTTTTCTTCTCTTACACACCACATCCAGTTAGGTTAATACCTCCTTTTAGCTCTACTTTCAAAACATATCTAGAATCCAGCCCCTTCTTTCCATTCCCATCTCTGCCACCCTGGCCAAGCCACTATCGTCTATGACCCAGATGATTGCAGTACCCACTTGCTATTTGCTTCCCCGCTTTTGTCCCTTACACACACACACTTTGCTCCAGCCTCATTGACCTCCTTATTAACTCTAGTGATGCTTCTTGCCCCAGTCTTATTACTTGTCTTGCCTCTGCCTGGAATGTTGGACACCTGGATAGATAAACATGGGTCATTTATTCTGTTTCTTCATATCTTAATTCTGTCCCTCTTGTCACATTAAATTTCAACCTTCTACATTCATACTCTTCCTATTCCCCTTCCTTACTTTATTTTTTCTCTTGAGTAGCTCTTCCTGCTAATATATATTTTATCATTCTGTTTCTCCCAGTCTAATCTAATACAGAGGGAATATGCAAATTGACCATCACACCGCTACAAAAATGGTGGCACGCACAGGGAAGAGTGTTTCCATAACACAAGATGGCTGTGCCCACAGCGGAGGCCAAGTTCCCATAACAAGCCTTAAGGAGCAATCAGCAGGGAACTGAGGCTGCATGGCACGCTGGGCCAGGGCAAGGGACCTGAGGCTTGCCCCCTGCCTAGGCACCAGGTTTGAGAACTGAGGCTGCTCCTGGCGCCAGGTCAGGGGACCTGATGCTGCACCCCTGCCTGGCAGGGCTTGACAAGGGTGGGGCCAGCCAGGTCTGGGTTTCATGCGATTTTGAGGTGTGCATGGGTGGGAGGGGACTTGATTCTGGGTCCCGCAGAACACCCCTGACTCTGACAGGAGGAAGATTTTCATATACATTTTACTAATTTTTTTTCACCTCTGACATTTCTATTATAGAGAAAGGGCAATCCTATCTAATAAAAGGGTAATGTACAAATTAACTGTCATTCCATCACAAATACGGCAGTGCCCATAGCCACAAGATGGCGGCACCCAGTCTTTTCAGACCCACAGGAGTCCTAGCATGAGTGACCTGGCAAAATGCTTCAGTGATGAGGCAGCTGTTTCATGCCTGGCCTCCTGCCAGGCCAGGGTGAGGAACTCTTGCGTCCTTGCCCTTGTGACGAGGCAAGCATTCCACACCTGGTCGAGGATGGGTCTGTGGACCATGGAGAGCCTCTGGGCAGTAGGTGCAGAGTAGCCAGGCCCCACAGAGAGCTATTGGTGCATGGATTCATGTGCAGGGCTACTAGTATTAAAATATTTCCTCTAATTAATTCCCTTTTATTGTGCACAAATTTCGTGCACCAGGCCACTAGTAGAATATAAGCTTATGAGGACAGGAAATTTTTAGCTAAGTTCACCCTTATGTTTCCTGTATCCAGAATGGTACCTGGTGTCAGACCAACTGAAAAAGTGTAGAGGCATTGCTAGAAATAAGTGATAAAGATTTATTCAAATGTCTTAGGGTTTGCAAACCAGAAACACAAGGCAAGACCCAGAATGCTCTGAAGACAAATAAGAAACTAAGAGTTCTTATAGTAAAAAATAAATTCTTAGCCTCTGGATTGTATAACTGGTGGTCTGGATAAGTGAACATTGTTTCCTTAGTCCTTCAGGGGTAATCACATTGTTACCTGAAGGTTTGATGTATATCCAAGCATTGACAGGACTGGAATTTTGAAAGTTTTAAGTTCCCAGGCTAGTTAAAACAAGAATAGTATTGTTTTATCTAGCCTTGGCCTGATTGCAGTAATACAGTAGCTTGACTGTAGTGACTCCGTGTTACTTCCTCACTTCTGTTCCTCACTGGTATTATTGAATATATGCATGCATGTATGAATGAAGAGTGTTTATCACAGTTTGCAAGTTTATCTACTTGTTATCTTGCTTCATTTCTTAATCTAGAATCATTGTATTAACCCATCTGTAACTAAAGCTTAGTGTGATGCCCAAAGCATCACAGTTATTTGTGAGTCAATACTAGTACTACTGGTACTATTTGCTTTTGTATTGCAACTTCATAAAATACTTCCTTCTGTATTATTTCATTTTATTTTACAATCATACTGTCTTTAGACAAGAGACTAAGTGAAGGGACATTTAAAGGCCCATCTTGAACGTGTTTATCTGGTAAATGATAGTCAGCACTGGGTGTCAGATCTTCCTACTCTGTTGAGTTCATTCCCACTATATTAAAGGGTCTCTCTATGAAGTTTATGCAGATAGTACTTCAGTTACCTATGTTACTTCAGTTACCTAGTGTCCTTTGGGTAACATTTAATTTTTATTTCTGGGATTGTGTATAATACAAACCAATCCTGTCTTACGTGCATATATACCTAAGAAGCATGTCGAAAGTGAGGTTCAAAATAGAAATATGGTTCTGTGCTAAATCAAAGTAGTGTAAGAACAAGTGACATGTAATTACCTCACAATCGCTGTGCTACTTGTCTGGTTTACTCATCTTGGAGAAGGACATGAAGAGAAGTAGAAAAAATGGAAAGCCTGGGGCCAGCAATGTCCATATTACTGATTTATTTCCCCTTTTCTTCTTCTTCTTCTTCTTCTTCTTCTTCTTCTTCTTCTTCTTCTTCTTCTCTTTTTAAATATATTTTATTGATTTTTTACAGAGAGGAAGAGAGAGGGATAAAGAGTTAGAAACATCGATGAGAGAGAATCATCAATCAGCTGCCTCTTGCACACCCCCTACTGGGGATGTGCCCACAACCAAGGTACATGCCCTTGACCGGAATCGAACCCGGGACTCTTCAGCCCGCAGGCTGATGCTCTATCCACTGTACCAAACCAATTTTGGCTGCTTCTTCTTTTTTACTTAATTTTTATCCCATTTGGAGGCCAGGATCTGTAATAACAAACTGCTTTGACAGTTGCAATAATACAATGCACATTTATAGCAATCAGATTTTATAGGAACTTTATTTTTTATTTTTTTTTAATATTTTTTATTTATTTTTTACAGAGAGGAAGGGAAAGAGATAGAGAGCTAGAAACGTCGATGAGAGGGAAACATCGACCAGCTGCCTCCTGCACACCCCCTACTGGGGATGTGCCCACAACCAATGAACATGCCCTTGACAGGAATCGAACCTGGGACCTTTCAGTCCAAAGACCAATGCTCTATCCATTGAGCCAAATCGGTTTTGGCGACATTTCATAGGAACTTTAGAGACTGTTTGTTTGTTTGAATCCTCACCTGAGGAATGAGGATATTTTTTCTATTGGTTTTTAGAAAGAGTGGAAGGGAGAGAGGAAAGAAGAAAGAAACATGATATGAGAGAGACACATTGATTGGTTGCATCCTGCACATGCCCCAACTGGGAATGAATATTGAACCTGCAACCCAGGAACATGCCCTTGACCAGGAATTGAACCCAGTCAATTCTGGTGTGCAGGCCCGTGCTCTAACCACTGAGCAGGCCAGCCAGGGTGGAGACTATTTAAATATCTGCCTATATTTTGGTTGAAGCTTTGTCCAAAAAAGTAGGTATATAGGATATGAATAAGTCCAGTCCATTAGCAAATAATTATGATTTTAGAAGTCACAATGCTGATTGATCACTTCTAGATTAATGAGTATCCTACCTAATAAAATAGTAATATGCAAATTAACTATCACTCTGCTATGCCCACTGCCAATCAGAGCGACTATTCAAATAAACCTAACCAAGATGGCTACAGCCACAGAGAGCAGGAGGGAGGCTTGGGTTTACCCAGCAATGAAGGAAGCCAAGCTTTCCGCCTGCCCTTGCCAGCCTAGGCCTCCACAAGGCTACAAAGTTTCAATTATAGAAGGTAAACAAATCCAAACAGAAATGGCTGCCAGCCAGGAGCAAGCAGGAGGGCTTGGCTCTGCTCCAGGCTACAAAGTTTCAATTGTAGAAGGCAAATAAATTCCAGATACCAGGGCCTCTGCTTGGGTTGTCAGGGGACGTGGCTGACCTGCAAACCACCACAGCCCCTCGCTCAGGCCGTCCCATGCCCCAAGGGAACCCCCACCCTGATCCAGGACACCCTTCAGGGCAAACCAGTTGGCCCAACCCGTGCACCAGGCCTCTTTCTTATCTAATGAAAGAGTAATATGCAGATTGACTATCACTCTAACACACAATAGCTGCCCCCATGTGGACACAAGATGGCCAGCAGGAGAGGGCAATTGGGAGGCACCAGGCCTGCAAGGAAAGGCAGTTGGAGGCAATCAATCCTGTAGGGGAGGGCAGTTAGGGGTGACCAGGCCAGCAGAAGAGGGTAGTTGGGGGCAAACAGATTGGCAGGGGACCAGTTAAACATCAATCAGGCTGGCATGGGAGTAGTTAGGGGTTGATCATGCTGGCAGGCAGAAGCAGTTAGGGACAACTAGGCAGGTAGGAGAGCAGTTGGGAGATAGCATTCCTGAATTGTGAGAGGGGTGTCTGACTGGGATCGGGCCTAAAGGGGCAGTCAGACATCCCTCGAGGGGTCCCAGATTGGAGAGGGTGCAGGCTGGGCTGAGGGACACCTTTTACACACACACACACACACACAGACACACACACACACACACACACACCCGTGCACGAATATCTATTGCACCAGGCCTCTAGTATCTCCATAAAGTAGATCAGTCTTCTTCACATCTTAAAAGTAGGAATCCATAAGAGCATGGTACAAGTAGAGGGCTCCAGTTCAACTGGATCTTAAGTAGGACCCAGTTTTCCTTCTGGGCCATTCCACCTTTTACCGGGATCAGACTTAAATTTGCAATGTTGGGTTGGGTCTCGTTCATTTTTATTTCATGGCCTGGGTTATATAAAATATTGAAGTGATATTATTTGCATTATTTCACTTGTGCTAGATCTCCAACTTGCTGCTGAGCTTGGGAAGACATTACTGGATCGGAACACAGAGTTGGAGGATTCTCTTCAGCAGATGTACACAACCAATCAGGAGCAGTTACAGGAAATTGAGGTAATTTACTCAGAGTTACACTTGGAGGCGCGGCATATTGCTGCAGTTACACCAATCATTCTGCTAAAGTGATACTTGCAATTAAAAGCAATGTTTCATTTCTAACACCAACTTCTTTGAGAAGAAGAACCGTCAGAGAGGGCAGAGAGGTTGATTTCTCCTTTTAGGCTTTCCCAGCTCGTTAGTCTGAGTGATGAAGAGTTCTCGCTGCACCTTTGGTGAAGTATATTGAAGTAAATGGTCCAGTATTTGCCACTATGTAAAGCAAAATAAAGCTATGGGTATTATACTTAATATCACTTTAAGAAAAATGAATTCTGCAAAGAGGTATGAGAAAATAAATAATAAAATTAACACTTATGCACCCACCACCCAACTTAAAAGAGAAACTCACACTGTTGAGCCTTCTTGGTTGGGTCTGCCCTTCCCTTTTGTCTCCCACTCCCATCTCCACCCCAGATGTTAAAATAACAGTAGAACCAGCTTGTGTCTGCTTGCAAAAACGTAAAAGATCTTAGAACAATGTTAAGAACTTACTAAGCTCTGATTTTGTACTGAACCATATAATTAAAATGATCGAAATTGAAAGAATTAGATTTATGCAAGAATTTGAAGTCTTTGACTTCAAAGTAATCAAGAGAAGAAGGAAGAGGGAGGGAGGGAAAGAGAGATTGACATCATTGTGAGAGAAATATCCATCGATCATCTTCTGCACACACCCCAACTATGGATCAAACCTGCAACCTAAGTATGTTCCCTGACCAGGAATCAAACCCACAACCTTTCAGTGTATAGGATGACACTCTAGCCAATTGAACCATACAAACCAGGACCACAAATTTCAGTTTTTGAATACAAATAAACCTATCATCAAAAGTGAGGCAAATTTATAATCTCAATATCTTTAATTTTACATAGTAGCCATAATTAAGGTACATATAATAATCTTCATCAGGATTTGTGAATATAGCCAGTCATATGACTAAGGTACACTTATAATTCTAGGAAGGTACATATTATAATGATATTGAAATCACCACCTACCAGTTTTAGCACACTGATCATCTAAAGAGCGTGGAACATGCCATACATGAAATTAATTACAGAGTTTTGCAAAAATCTAAAAATGCAGAAAAATGAGGTGTTTTTAAATTATTAATTAACTAGATGTCATACATAGTTAAGGAACTCATTCTTACTTTGATTCATAGACTTTGTTTTTCAGCTCATTGGAAGATTTCACTTAGAGGTCCTAATGCATAAACAATATACACTGTGATAAATATTTATTGGTATTTGGCTTTTGCATAGTCTCAATACATTGGATGTTTTTTATGAAAATGCCTATAAATAGCTATAACTGAATACTATTACTAGTACTTTTGCAGATTTTTAAGTATAGATGGAAAAAAAAAAAGTCCAAATATTTGCATAATTAAGATAATGATGCTTATTTGTTCCTGTAGGAGATAACAAATACAATTGCTTTATAACCCAAGTAACTTGTCTTTCTAACTTTGTTTTCTGTGCTGTTGAGAATGATTAAACAGTTAAAATAGAAAGTTGGCATTCTGAAAAAAATCCAAAGATCTTTGAGATTCTCCAAATCTACAAATAACACTCCATCACCTAATGTCTTCCATGAGATGTTGCAATGTATATTGAAAATGATGTATCCAGTTCAGACTTAATGATTAAATAAATATAAAATTAAATATATTTACAAGCTACTCAAATAAATTTAGCCTGTAGTAACTCTATCTCCAGCCCTAGTCAGGGCACATGCAGGAGGCAACCAATCAATGTGTCTCTGTCTGTCTCTCCCTCTTTCTTCCACACTCTTCAAAAAACTATGGAAAAATATCCTTGGGTGAGGATTAATAAAAAATAAAATAAATAAGTAAGCCTGTAGTACTTCCAAAAACATTTTCATGAATCTCTTTTCTTTTTCTTAAAAAAAAATTTATTTCAATTATAATTGACATACAATGTTATATTAATTTCAGGTGTATAGCATAGTGATTGTATATTTATATAACTTACTCATTTTCCAATATGTCTAGTATCCATTTGGCACCATACATCCTATCTAATAAAAGAGTGATATGCAAATTAACCATCACCACGCCACACCCACAAGCCACGCCCACAAGCCAATCAGGAGTGAATATGCAAATAAACCCAACCAAGATGGCTATCACCACAGAGAGCAGGAGGGAGGCTTGGGTTTCCCCGGCAATGGAGGAAGCCAAGCTTTCCGCCTGCCCTTGCAGAAGTCTCCACGCAAGGCTACAAAGTTTCAATGATAGAAGATACATAAATGCAAATAGAAATGGCGGCAGCCACAGAGCTGGAAAGAGCAGGAGGCTAAGGTTTCTCCTGGTTATAGAGGAAGCCAAGCTTTCCACACACCCTGGAGGACCCAGGCCTTTGCTTAAGGATACAGTGTTTCAATTATAAAAGATACATAAACCCCAACAGAAATGGCTGCCACCATGGAGCAAGCAGAAGGCTTGGCTGTGCTCCAGGCTACAAAGTTTCAATTGTAGAAGATAAATAAATCCCAGATGCCAGGGCCTTGCTTGGGTCACCAGGGGGTGTAGCTGGCCTGCAAACCACCGCAGGCCCCTTGCTCAGGCTGCCCCGTGCCCCAAGGGAACCCCATCCTGATCTGGGAACACCCTTCAGGGCAAATCGGCTGGCCCTCACCCTGCACCAGGCCTCTATCCTATCTAATAAAAGAGTAATATGCAGATTGACCAGCACTGCAACACACTATGGCTGCCCCATGTGTTAGGGGTAACCAGTCCAGCAGAGGAGGGAAGTTGGGGGCAACCGGGCCTTCAGGGAAGGACAGTTGAGGAAGATCCAGGCCTGCAGAGGAGAGCAGCTGTGGGGGACCAGGCCTGCAGGGGAAGGCAGTTAGGGGAAATCAGGCTGGCAGGGGACAGTTAGGTATTTATCAGGCTGTCAGTGGAGTGGTTAGGGGGTGCTCAGGCTGGCAGGCAGAAGCGGTTAGGGGGAATCAGGATGGCAAGCAGGCTAGCAGTTGGGAGCCAGCAGTCCTGGATTGTGAGAAGGATTTCTGTCTGCCCAGACATCCCTTGAGGGGTCCCAGATTGGAGAGGGTGCAGGCTGGGCTAAGGGACACACACACGCGCACACACACACACCCTGTGCACGAATTTCGTGCACCAGGCCTTCCTTTTTCATACATTTGCCTCATTAGTAAAGGTGGCCTATTTTGTAACTTTTGTTCATAACCTGAACCCTGTACTAATAATTGAGGTGACCTGTACAAATTTTAAGACATAGAGATAACTCACTGCACTTAAACTTTTATAATCTTACCTGTAAGTTGACATTTTTTGCTACCCTCATGTTCTCCCACTGTTTGCTTAAACGTCTCCCTTTCCCCTGATTGATACAGCAAATTCTTTTGTACATGAACTTTTCTTGGCATTTGAATTTTAGGATCCAGTCAGATTCATTTGAAACTTTGATTCAAAGATTCTGAATTGGGAAAACCAGAACATTAGAAGCATATCTGTGTTTCTTTAAGGGTAGAAAGTGAACTAATCCATTTCCTTCTACATTCAGAAAAAAATGACAAGTGCTCATTTGAAGTTTTAGAAAGCAAGTGTTAAAGCAGCATCTGACTGTATAAACTTCTGATTCTCTGGCTTTAAGTCAGTATTTGCTGAGAAATCTAATAATTTCTCTTTTAAGTTGCTGACCAATTTGGACTCATTTGCTAGGTAACCAATCACAGATTCTTGGAGAAGTGAAGAGTTTTCTGCTTAGTTTTAATAACAAGATTAAACTTGGATCACGTGAAGACAAGCTCCCTGCCATTTTTTGGATTATCTTTAAAGCCAAGTTCTGTAAGAGCAAAGTTTCACAAGGTCTTCCTAAATGGTTTCATTTTGTTTTTATCACAGGCTTTAACAAAATAAATAAATAAATAATAAATAAATAAAAATTTAAAAAAGATTGATTTGAGAGAGAGAAACATCAGTTTGTTGTCCCACTTATTTATGCATTCCTTGGTTAATTCTTGTATGTGCCCTGATCAGGGATCGATCTAGCAACCTTGGTGTATCAGGAAGATGCTCCAACCAACTGAGCTCCCCAGCCAGGGCTATCACATATGTATCAAATGAGGGGTTCTTACTGTCGTTTTTCAAATAGCCTCTTTTTGCTTAGTTGCATATTGACGTGTTTCCTTTACATTGGCTATAACTCTAATTTGAGCATCTTGCAAAAGAGGCAACAACTTGGAACTCACATAATAACTGGTAGGGATTGTAAATGACTCAGGTTACTGAGGCATATGTGTGCTGTGGGCATAAATATGTGGAAATAATCTGAAAATACAACAAGAGGGGAAAGAATTAGTGGCTAATAGAGTTTTTCTAAGAGGGCTATAACCAAAGTCCTTCTCAAAACCTTTAAGTATCTGGACGTGTCACAGTCTGAGTTATATAAAGCATGATCAGCTGTTGTGAAGAGAGGTCTAGAAATGGCCATTCAGCCAGTATTTTTTAGGTCTCTACTATGTGTCAGAAATGGTGCTAAATGGGCCACATCTATAAGGGGAGGCTTAGAAAGTTAATGACATTGCTCAGTTGGTGTGCCTCAGTGGTCGAGTGTTGATCTATGTATGAACCAAGAGGTCATCAGTTGGATTCCTGGTCAGGGCACATGCCTGGGTTGCAGACCCTGATCCCCGCAGTGGGGGGCATTCTGGATGTTTCTCTCTCATCGATGTTTCTCTCTATTGTTCTCCCTTTCTCTCTCAAATCAATAAAAACATTATAGGAAAAAAGACCTTAGCCAGTTTGGCTCAGTGGATAGAGCAATGGCCTGTGGACTGAAAGGTCCTGGGTTCGATTCCTGTCAAGGGTACGTGTCCGGATTGCAGGTTCAGTCCCCAATGGGGAGGGGGTAATGCAATGATTCTCTCTCATCATTGTTGTTTCTCTCCCTCTCTGGAATCA